ATAGCACATAATTGCGAAGACTATAGCCTGGATCAGGCGCACCTTAGTCTCTAGTCTGATGTTGTTGCTCTTCAATACTCTTTAATTTTTAAGAAAAGAAATGCTGTAAATGAAAACTCACTTCTCAGGCTAGCCCCCAAGTAAGCAATAGTGCTTCAGAAAGTCCCTCCTAACTGGAGTTTAATGAAATACTGTATCAGTAACATCTAGAATTTATGCATTTGGTACAGTGACTCCAACAAGGAGAAAGCTAAGAGAAGGAGAAGGTAAGAGAATTGGGTACTGGCTCCTCTGGGGGGCAGGGTTAGAGGTGGGGTAAAGTTTCTGGAGCAGTAATCTAGATGAGATTTGTTCTGAAAGGTTAGAGGGATCTTGTAGAGGGTGTGGAGGGAAGGGGCTGAGGGTCAACATTGTACATTCTGTGATCACCACTCAACCATCCCTTTCGTTTCTTCCCTAAGCACCAATGATTGGTTCCTAGGTTTTTGGTTGGGGTTTTTTTCCCCTTCCACCAACTCTTGTTTCCAATAGGCATACCCCTTCAGCCAAGCCTTCCTGGAATAGAACTGAGCACCTTAGCCTCATCTCATGTCCTTGCAGGCAGGAAACATCCATGTGACCCTTTTCCACAGTTTTTTTTTCCTGCTCATAGAGATATAGACAAGATCTCTCCCTCCTAGAACATCTCCATACTCACCCTCCATCTTCAGCTTCTCACTTCTCCATTCAGAGCTTGTGGAAGCTGAGGTCTCAGAAGAGGTCATATTGAGAACTAAAAGCCATCCATGTACCAAAAGGAAGTAATGAAGTTCCATTATAATGTCATCCCCAGGGCAAGAGCAAGGTTCTTTGAGTGTAGAGAAGAGAAAAGAGAATAGAGGTAAAGGAGGAGAGAAGGGAAAAGAGAGGAGAGGGAAGCAGAGGAGAGGGGAGGGGAGAGGAGAAGGGAGAGCTGAGGAGGGGGGAGGGGAGTGGGGAACGGGGATGCGGAGGAGAGGGGAGGGGAGGGGAGGGGAGAGGAGAGGAGAGGAGAGGAGATGGGGTTTAGAACTACTGATCACTTCTGCACTGGTGATGGGGCCTGAGGGATACTAGCAGGAAGAAAGATAGACTGCTGGGGAGAGTGATCTCCTTAACTTTCCATCCATCTTTTCTGGCCCCCAAAGTTGTTGTTATTGTTAGGTGCCATGGAGTCGACCATAACTCACAGCAGCTGTATGGACATTGGGTCTGAATCCTGCCCTCTCCTGCACCGTCTTCACCATCCATGATATGCTCGAGCCCCGTGTTAAAGTCAACCCATCGTATTTAGGGTCTTCCTCTCTTTCTCTGGCCCTCTACCTAGTCCTGCCCCAAACCACTCTATTCACCCCAGAATCAAATGGGAGCAGAGGGGGCAAGGTAGGCAGGGCTCCAGGCAAAGTATCCTGAAAGCCTTTTTTATTTGATGGTTGCTTGTCTTCCAGTATATGCATATTGTTGTTTCTGTGTAACGTCGAGTCAGAACCGACCCATAGCTGACCCCCCAGCGGGTTTTTAGAGGCAGTTAATCTAAAGGGAGGAGATTGTCTATCCTTCTCTTGTGGAGCAGCTGACCGATTTGAACTATGTGTCTTTGGAATTCTTGCCAGTAGGCCACCAGTGCACAATAAATATATGCATGTTGTTGTTGTTATGGGACATCAAGTCGCTTGCGACTCATAGAGACTCTATGTATAAGAGCCCTAAACCCTGCTCTATTCTGTGCCAATCTTACTGTTTCTGACACACCTATTCCCACCACCCCAATCACTGAATCAAATCCATCTCATTGAGGGTCTTCCTCTCCTGTGCTGTCCCTCCATTCTCCCAAACATGATGTCCCTCTCCAAGGACTGGTCCCTCCTTGCAACATCAAACAAAGCTTCAGAATCCTTGCCTCCATGGAGCAGACTAGCTTCACTCTCTCCAGGACAAACCTGTTTGTTCTCCTAGCAGTCCATGGTATGTCCAACACTCTTCTCCAGCACCACAGCTCAAAGGCATAATTCTCTTTCTATTATCCCTAGTCATTGTCCAGCTCTCTGATGCATATCATGCAATTGCAAAGATTATGGCCTGCATCAGGCGCACCTTAGTCTCCAGCCTGATGTCAATAACCACATAAAAATAGTACTCAAATCCACCAGCTTCTCTGCAAGAGTAAGACAGGCAATCTTCTCCTGCATGAATTACCACCTCTGAAAACCTCCTGAAAGGTTAGCTGAATCAGATCCGACTCCACAGTACACGACAACAAACATGGCGGTCCTATTACGGTTGTGCATATAAATGTTAGATTAAAATGATAAGTGGAGTCTCTCCTTGCCCAAAGGGATCCATCTCAGAATCTTCCAGATATGTTTATACTCTGTATATAAGAAATTTTAGAAACAATCTGATTTAAAGCAAAGTTTGAAAAGGATAAAATACTGTATCCTGTGTTCTTCCCAATTTTTCACTCCACAGATTGGTTTACAAATGGTTTCTTCTAATCTACAAACTCAGCTATGCATTTGGTGTTGTTGGTTACTTGGCTATTATGTTTACAATATGTGGATTCAATTTCTTATTCAAGTAAGTACCTCCAATTAAGTCATTAAGATCTCCAAAATCTCTTAGAACATTCACCTGCTCAAGTTCTTTGTATCTGGAAACATTATTTGGCCCTGTATTTTCCCACATATGCATTCTTTAAAAAGTCTACCAGAAATTAAACTATTCCAATTAGAAACTTTATAAAGGATATGTACTTGAATTGATAACTTAAGCAACACATTGAAAGCAAGTCAATGTTTGTGGTCCACTAATCTTACTGATCTACAAATTTATTTAAAAAAATTCTAGGATGGTCAGATTTCCTTCTATATATCTCTTTCCTAAAAATATCTATAACTGGTACTATAGACACCCAATCTTATGATAAAAAAATAAAAACACTTACACTTAATTTCTTAGACTTCATAGGAAATAAAGCATTTTATGTTAATTATATATTGAAATTATAGTGCTTTAGATATATTGTTGAAATTAATTTTACTGTCTCATTTTACTTTCATAATGTGGCCACTAGAACATTTTCAGTTACATTCCTGGCTCACATTATGTTTATATTGGAGCACAGTCCTCTGGGATTTCACTTCTGAGAGCCACACGGCTTCTCCTGTAGCACAGATGACAAGTCTAGGGAGAAAGAAAGGAAATAAGGGTCATTCATTTTTATAATTTTTTATTTTGTGTTTTATAACAAAAGTTTACAGAAATATTAAACTTTCATTCACTCATTGTTGCACATTTTACCTCTCCCCATCCCCCAGTTCATGGTTTTTGTTAATATTAGTTAATGTTAGTTAATATTAGTTAATATTAGCTAATATTAGTTCATTGTTGCACAATTACATCCCTCCCTACTGCCCCCTCAGTCCTCTTTGCAATGTACCTCTTCTTCTAGGCTGTTGTCATATGTATAATGCCTAATCATATATTCCTTCTAAACAGTTCTTTCCTTCATCTGTTCCAATAGAGTATTCATTATTTATCCCCTTTTTTCTTAGTTTCTCCTTAACTCCCATATTAGTCCTATTTTATAACAAGTGGTGCTATGCAGTATTTGTCTTTTTTTTTTTTTTTAGTATTTGTCTTTTGGTGACTGAGATATTTCACTGACTATACTATCCTCCAGGGTCACTCATGTTGTGTAATATTTTGAGTTCCTTGTTTTTGTTTTTTTTTTTCAGTTCAGTGCTGTGTGATATTCCATTGTGTGGATATACCATAGTTTTTCTATCTGTTCATTTGTTGATGGGCACGTGGATTGCTTCCATCTCTTTATTACTGTGAATTCTTGTTATGTGCCTTTGAGTTGCCTGCGACTCATAGCAACCCTATGATACAATAGTCCTATACCCTGCTCTATCCTGTGTCAATCTTATTGTCTCGGAAACGCCTACCCGTCACTGAGTCAATCCATCTTATCAAAGGTCTTCCTCTCTTGTACTGTCCCTCCACCCTTTCAAGCATGATGTCCTTCTCCAAGGAGCATGTCCAAAGTATGTCAGATGAAGCTTCAGAATCCTTGCCTCCAAGGAGTAGCCTGGTCTCCCCCTCTCTAGGATCAACTCGTTGGTTCTCCTAGCCATCCATGGTATATTCATTACTCTTATCCAGCACCACAGCTCAAAAGTGTCAATTATCCTATCATCTCTGGTCATTGTCCAGCTTTCTGATGTATAGCAAACAATTGCAAAGAATATGGCTTGTCAGTACTTTGGGGAGGTCTCTAACAGCAGACTTTCCCAATGCAATTCATCTTTTAATTTCCTGTCTGCTGGTACCAAGAGTGTTGATTGTGGAACCAAACAAACTAAAGCAGTTAATAATCTTAATCTCTTCCCCATCTATCATGATGCTGCAAATTCTCAGTGGTAAGAATTTGTTTTCTTGATGTTGAGCGTCATTCTTTATTGAAGGCTAAATCCTTAACCTTTTACAGCAAGTGCTTTAGGTCCTCCTCAGTTTCAGCAAACTATCATTGAGAAAAACGGGAGTTCCAGAACAACTTAATTGTGCTCTTACAAAACCTACACCCAGGTCAAGTGCTATTGTTCAAACAGAGCAAGGAAACACTACATGGTTTAAAATCGAGAAAAGTTTGCATCAGGGTTGTATTCTCTTTCTGTACCTATTCAATCTGTATGCTGAGCGAAGAGAGGGAGACATTTAACCAGATGGATTGACATAGTGACTGCAGCAGTGAGTTCAAGTGTGTCAGAGATGGTAAAGATGGCACAGGATAGGATAGAGTTCAGATCTATTATTCATCGGGTCACTATGAATCACACCTAAAAACAGAAACAACCAGACCTGCCAGACCAATTAAATAAGTCCCTATCTATGCATGGAACACATGCATCATATATTTTTCAATATCCCCAGGTAATTCTAAAAAGGTGGTATAGCCCTGGTGTGTCCACTTGCTGTACAGAGGTAACTTGTGAAGCCAAACACTGTGACACTGATGTGTCAAATGTGAGAATGGTTACCCATGGTGGACAGGGTTTGGTGAAGCTCCCCGATTAAAACAAGCTTGGAAGCAGGTGTGGTATCCACTTCCATAAATAGCTTTCGGAAACCCTCTGAACCTGGAGAAAGGATGAAAGTCACACAACATTTGTTGAGGACTTTCATTCATAGGGTCACTATGAGTCGCCTATGACTTGACAGCACTTAACAACAACAATTCTAAAGTAGATTTAGAACCACTGCTCTATTAAAATGGTTATCAACTCTAGCTGCCTACTAGAATACCTAGACTTCACAGAACTTCCAAACAATATTAATGCAGGTTGCATCGCCACTGGTTCTGGTATAATTGGCCAGGGCTGGGGCCTGGAGCTGGTGACATCCACATGCTCCTGGGTCTTCATCTAAGCAGCCGAGTTTGAGAATCAATTATTAGAGTCTGCTTGTCTAAGACTTGCAGTCTTACATGTGCTTGATGATCATCTCAAGTGTCCACTTAGCCAAGAGTAGTAATATATGAGGAGTATTTTTAACTCTTTAACAATAATAGCCTAAACAAATAAACATCAACAAGATTCTGTTAGACACTGTGGTAGCAATTCTTTTTGGAGCTCTAGCCCTGTCCTGGACCCAAATGCTAAATCTTCATGTTGTTTCCAATAGAATCAAAGCTAGAGACTCCATGGATTTTGGTATTGTTTCCTTGTTCTATGGCCTCTACTATGGAATAATGGGGAGAGACTTCGCTGAGATCTGCTCAGATTACATGGCTTCCACTATAGGGGTAAGTTGCACCTTCATTCTTTGGAACCATTTATGGTGTCTGGAAAAATGGTCTCACCCTATATATCTGCAGTTAATTTCAGAAATAAAAAGATTCATCTTAAGACCTTGGATGAGATGGATGGACACAGGACACAATGACTGTGGCAATGTGTCAGGATTGGTGAGATTGGCTCAAGACAGGGCAAGATTCAGAGCCATTGTTCAGAGGATCTCTATGGGTCGTAGTTGACTTGAAGGAATATAACAACAACATGCTGATTATCTTTTTCTTGGACACCATTTTAATAATGTGGAGTTTTCCCTTCAATATTGCTTTCCTAGCCTGGAACTTGATTCTGCCATGTGGATGGATGGGACTATGCAAATAGGGTATGTTAACCTATCCACAAGGGGATTGGTTATCTCACCATTCCACAAGGAGGTTGGTCAGTCTTACTATATGTAAAGGAATTGACAAGTCTCACCAATAAATTTGGACATTGCAGCAACACAGAGTCCCTCTCTTACCACTAGCAAAGGAGAAGTAGGCATGCAGTGGACACCCTTCAGAACCAGACTTTCTTGTACCACCTAGACTTACAGCAGCAGCAGCAGCCATAATTGAAGCAGAGAACAAGACAACATGAGATGGAACTGTAACCTTAGCCCCATGGACAGAACCAGAACTAAACTAAGAGCCTTTGCCCGAGTTTGTTGGACAGTTTGGTGGAGGGAGGGGCTGTGAGCCAATATTGACAGACCTGAGAACTTTGTTATCACTAGCTTTAAGTCATGAAGCTCAAGGCTGAAGTTCCTGTGAACACATTGCGGAAACTGTCGTGATTGTATTCTGCTATTAAGCTGAATTTTAACCTTTTAACTTCCCCAGTATGATTCTGTGAAACTTTGCATTGGATTTTGGACCTAGTAAAGCAGTAAGATTAGTGTTGACATGTGTAGAAAGAGGTGCAGGAGTGTGGGAGACATGTCTAACTTCATGGAAATTGGTTTTGTATTGTTGATGCTGTTGACAAGAACAGTTCCCCTTGGTGAAGTTGGTAAAAGTCAGATACAGCCATCCCCACATGGCCCTGATTCATTTTACAAATAGTTAAGTGGTTCTCTCATCCCAGTTGTGCCATGGGTTATCCTTGTGCCCAAAATTTTATTTGCCAGTTAATTAGCTGTTGTTGTTATGTGTCATTACATCAGAACAAACTCATAGCTCACTCTCCAAAGGGTATTCAGAAGCTGTAGATAGCACTGGAGGAGGTGCTCAGCTTTCTCCTTTGGAGAGTTGGTGGATTTGAACCACAAACCTTAGACTTGGCAGTGCAACTCCTTACCACTTGGTCATGAGCGCTCTCTCTTAAAATAGTCTCTTAATAACAGACTATATTAACTGCTTATATAGAGTGGTTGTATAATAAAATGCCTTGTTTCATAAATGTACCAATTATTTTAAAATTATCATATGTATCTTACTCTAGGTGCTAACTTTAAAAAATTAGTAAATGATGAACAGTATCAAAAACCACTTCTATACCTCTGCCTAATGTATTTTAAATTATAGTTGTTATTGTGTTGTTGATTGCCTTCAAGTCAAGCACGACTGATAGCAACCCTATGAACAAAAGGCCTGAAGCCCCTTTACAACAATCGACATTTATCAAAGTTCATAGAGTTCCAGAGGCATGTTATTTAGGAAGTGGATGCCACATTTAGTGCTACAAAAAACATTTAAGACTCAGTCAGTGCCTATCGTAAAGATCATATATCTTTATCAGTACACAGTGTTTGAAGAGCTAGAAGACATACAAAGCATGCTAAATGTTATCTGTATATTATTCCTTGCAATTTTTAAAATCCCCACAAATGTGGTTTTGATTTTGTTTCTTAACTTTCTTAAAATTAAAAATTGAAATTAACAAACAGTCTGATTAGACGAGTTTCAGATAAGAAAGACAGACCAATTTTGAACCATCCAGTGTTTCTTTGCTCCATTCTGATGACTGCCTCTTGGTCCAAGTATAGGTTTCACATTGGAACGATCAAGTGGTCTGGGGTTCTCATTCTTCTCAGAGTCAGCCACAGTTTGTTATGATCCACACAGTCAAACGCCTTTGCGTAGTCAATGAAACACAGATAGACATTCCTCTGGTATTCCCTGCTTTCAGCAGCAATAGACAAACACTACCTCAAGGTTAACATGAACAAGGATGCGTTGATACTAGGTGCCCTTGATATGATGTGATGATAGTGACACTTGGCATGTTTTCTTGACCCCCAAAAACTCGTAGCTCCAGTCAAACCATGAGAAAACCTCAGACAAATCTCAGTTGAGGGACATTCTGCAAAGTGCTCCTAAAAACTGATAAAATATAGAAAATCACATTTAAGAAATTGTCACTGTCAAAAAGAACACAAGAAAACATGAAAATTAAAGTAATATGGTATCCTGAATGGGAACAGAATGAGAACATCAGGTAGACTTTAGAAAATCTGAGTAAAGCACAAATTTGACTTCATTATGTGTCAGTACTGGTTCACTATTTGTGGAGCGCTGTAGTGCATCATGGCTAAAATCCTTATCTGCTAACCAAAATGTCAGTGGTTTGAATCTAGTGGTTCTGAGAGAAGAAAAATTTTCTGGTCGGCTTTCACAATCACCCAGTCTAAGAAATCCTCTAGGAAGTTCTTGGCCAATAAGATGACTATGTGTTGGAAAGATACTCAACAACACATACCATCGATAAATTGTGACAGATGTAGCACATACATGTAATATTTTTATAATCAGAAGTGAGCACAGTGTATGTGAGAACTATCTCTATTACCTTTACATTTTCTTTCATATAAAACGGTTGCTGTATGCAAATGAGTTGGTTCCCACTCCTAAAGGCCCTCTGGCCCTGTGTTGTTCTCACTGTTCTCTGTAATCGAGCACACTGTCACAGCCACCACATCAATCCATCTCACTGAGGGTCTACTTTCTTGCTGATTCTTTACTTAACCAAGCGTGATGTCTTTCACCATGGACTTTAAGCCAACAAATAGGTTAGTCCTGGAGAGGTTGAGACCAGGCTGCTCCTTAGAGGTAAGGATTCTGAAGCTACGTCTGACATATTTTGCACGTTATAAGGAGGGACCAGTCCTTGGAGAGGGACGTCATTCTTGGGAGGGTAGAGGGACAGCGCAGGAGAGGAAGACCCTTGATGAAGTGGACTGATTCAGTGACTGGGGTAGTGGGGGTAGGTGTGTCGAAGACAGTGAGATTGGCACAGGACAGAGCAGAGTTTAGGGCTGTTGTACATAGGGTCGCTATGAGTCACAGGCAACTAGATGGCACATAACAACAATAACATAAGTAGCTAGCGACTCAACAGCACATAACAGCAACACTTTACTGGGCTTTCTCAAAACCTATAAATCAGAATTTCAAGAGAATAGAGGGAAAATGCAGGTTACAGTTAAACCTAAAATCTATCTTTGTGCTGCTGAAGAGATGATCATTAATGTAGAGGTTGGATGGGTGGCTACAGGTAACCATATGCTTTTAATTCCTCTGGAGTTTAGTAAGTTTGTGTCTGAGCTGGCAGCCTTACCCCTGTGGAAAAGCGTGTTTCAAGTTTCACAGAACAGAAGGGGGCCACCTGGCCCAGGACGTGACTTTCCTGTGTTCAGAGGACAGCGTGTGTGTTTCTTCCCAACCGCACTGTGTTCCTTTCCCTCACAGTTCTACACCGTCAGCGGGATGCCCACCAGAAGCTTGGCCGACAATATCTGTGCCGTCTGTGGGCAGAAGATCATTGTGGAACTAGATGAAGAAGGACTCATCGAAAACACCTACCAGCTCTCCTGTAACCATGTGTATCCTTTTCTCGGGAGGCCTTCATGTCAGGCCACTTTGAGAGGCAACTTCTCAGGGATCTGTGTTATATGTGGGACATGACAGGTCAGGGAAGACCATCTCATCACTCTCCTCCCTCTCTCCCTTCTTTCCGATCCCTTCACATCCGCTTGTCTTCAGTCCTGAAACCCTAGACCTTTCACCACCAGCCCATAATCTCTTTGCGACATTCTGATTAGCCCTGCTGAAAAGCAAACTGCATATAAGCTGACCCTGCCCCAGCACTGCCCTTTTAAAAGACGACTAGCACACATGGACAGAAAGACAACACCATCTGAGCACAGGGCTAGCTAGAAAGGTTAGCAGCAGCTGTGAAATGAACTCAATGCTTAGCTCATAGATGACCCTCTAGTGGGCTTTCCGAGGCTGTAAATTTCATGGGAGAAGATTACTCATCTTTCTCTCATGGAGCCACTGGTGGATTCGAACCACCAGAGAGGTAGGGCCTTTGTGTTAGCAACACAACTTCCTACAGACAAGGCTACTAGAGGAGACATTCAACTATGACCACAGAGAAAGGGGTTTGGTTGGAGGTGAAGTTCAATATATTGGAAGGAACTCAGGCCTATCCAGGTGGAGTCTTGCATTTAACTCTCACTGGATCTTTGCATAGAAGCAATCCTTGGTACTTTCTGATGTCATTAATACTAATGGAAACATCAAGAAGAAGAAAAAAATAATGAGGGGTTTTTATCAGCTTTGATCTAGAAAAAGGATCCTGCCACTGACATCAGGACGCTTTACTTCCAAGACAGTATCTTGTATCTGGGAATCATTTGCATCATCTGCCTATGAGTTTCTCCCCAAATAGCTACCTCTTGGCTGTAGTCCTTTAGGTGATTGGTCCCAGTCAAGCTCCTGCCTAGGAATCAGCATTTTCTGGACCAGAGTAATCGCTGAGGATGGTTTGTGCTGAAAAATGCTTGAGCCAAAACTGAACCATGCAGCCTGCACTGGCCAGCATGTCACTACAGATACCAGCCTTGTGTTTGGATTGGCCTGCAGGCAGTATTTTCACTCTTTCATAAGTGAAAAAAGAAAAAGTATTATTTACCTTTATTCTTTATTTTATAGTATTGGATTTATAATAATATCACTGTACACATGGTCATTTCAAATCGCCAGCCTTATGGGGCAGTTAAATCATCCTGTCTTTACCTCTGAAGCTCACTTAGTCAGTAGTGCCCTACACATGCAGTGCTGATGATTCAATTGCATTTAAACTGGACAATTTCCATAGTCAATCCTGCAAGAGAAAAACTGGACCAAATGCATCTGAAATGTAATTGGAGCCTTTCCTCCAACATTTCAGCCTTAGCCTATTAAGGGAAAAACACAAAGATATCTCATGTGGAATACTATGGTGCTTTCTCATTGTGATAGCCGTCCCAAAAAACTATCACTCTTAACAGAAATTCTCCAAGCCTGGCCCTAATTTTAAATATTACTGACTTTTAAGAGTTTGGAACAGAGCCCATTCTGCCATTTGCAAGTGGAAATACTTCACCTTTAAAAGGCCTTACGGATTGGTGTACATGTGTGCATATGTCATTTAAAATGTAGTCACCTTTAAATGTGCTTTGCAGGGAATATTATTAATGGTCAGTTCAAGCATGAGTCATCTAGTGAAGAGGGCTAATATGAGTAATAGTAACAAGGAGGGATCTCTCAGTGTTGCTCCACAGAGAGTCGGCCAGCATGGAGGCTTTCGGCGCTGAGATTCTGAAAATGAAAGAAGGGCAGAAGGAGATGGAAGCATTGGCAGGGAGATGCATATTCAGGGCTGTTTTAAGGCTGTGGATATCTATCTAGAAGATGCTGCCTGTCTTCTTTCTCTTATAATTGAACACTGTGTGGATTTGAGTGATATATTTTTGTCATAATATCCCCCTCGATGTTAATACATGAACTTTTCAGGAATGACTCTTATTTCAAGCACATAAAATGGTAGGACTCTTAATTTATATATCTATATAGTATATGTGATCTTGACTTTGCTATCTACCTCAAGAGTACATTGCTTATAACAAGAGGCCTTCTAAGCCATTACTGTTAACAAGGTGTGTAAAAAGCCAGTCAGACAATTGTGTCATCTTGGCTCACAAAACCACACTGGAATCATGGATCAAGAAAACCATCTCTAAGATAGATCTCATTTTAGATAATCATTGTTCCTGAGTCTATAATATTGGAGAGTCAGTAAGAGATAGAGGTATCTAAGTAGCATAAATTATTTGCTCTTGGTTACTAACCTAAAGTTTGATGGTTGGAATCCACTTAGTGGCATCATTGAGAAGACTTGGAGATCCACCAATAATTAAAGAAAGATAATGGAGCACTTCTACAATATGTTTCTGTATATAATGTGTCCATATAGTCAATGTACATATGCATATAACATGCACAACTGACAGGAAACAAGTGTTACCAGGATGTTGCCTAGTTTGTAAAATCTGTGTATTATTTGAGTTTAAATATGGTAGTCTTCAACACAAGGAGTTGTAAGGAGACAGAGTTTGTTTTTGTCTCCAGGGGCACAGTAAAAAAAATACTGAACAATTATCTATTCCCACAAATAATCCATTTGGAATGATTAAGTTAGATATTCAGTGAAAATGTCTTTGCCACCATTTAGGGTGCTGAAGACACAGAGACAACAGTCTCTGCTCACAAGTTAAATATACTACAGTCTTGAAAGAGTGACACAGAGGGCCATGTTGCAATACGGTAAGAAGACTAAGAGTAAATCTGTGTGTGCAAAAACACGAGTTTCACTCGAAACTTGGAGGAAGAAGAGTCAGGCTTTATGGATCCTTCTTACATGCACTCAGGCAATGCATCCAATTCAAGTTTGGAACGTCAAGTTTGTAGGTTTATATTGCATCAAAAAAGAATTCTACTGACACAGAGTAAAGTTCTCAGCTGATAGAAGTTAGTAGTATAAACCCACCAGCTGTTCCATGCAAAAATAATGAGGTATCCTCAACCATAAACAAAACAGCCTTGTAAAGCCTATGAGACAGTTCCACTCCATCCTGTTGAGGTGGTCACTATGAGGCAAGCAAACTGAACAGCAATGAGTTTAACAGAGACTACTAAATAAACCTGGGTCCGTATCAGTAATAAAATGAGGAGGAAAACTTAGGACGTTAGTAGGTCTATTGGTAAGGCTGTTGTGGTTGTTGCTATTTGCCATTGAGTCAAGTATGACTCACAGTTACTCTGTGAACAACAGATCTGAACCCTGCCCTGTTCTGTGCCATCCTCATAATCTCAGACACATTTGAGCCCATTGCTGTAGTCACCATATCAAATTATCTTGTTGAAGGTCTTCCTCTCCTTTGTTGGCCCTCTATCTTTCCAAGCATGACGGCCTTTTCCAAGGAATAACCTCTTCTAGCAACATGTCCAAAGTATGAGAGATAAAGCTTCATCATCTTTGCCTCCAAGGAGCACTAAAGTGCACCTGATTCAGGCCATGATCTTCTCAATCACCTGATATGCATCAGAGAGCTGGACAATGCATAAGGATGACAGAAGAAAAAATTTGTAACTTTGAGTGATGGTGCTGGAGAAGAGCCCATTGACTTCCAACAGAGCACATACTTCTTGGACAAGGTGCAGCCAGATCGCTCCCTGGAGGCAAAAATAAGAAAGGTACATTACTTTAAATAATTTAAAGTATCCTAAGTGTGGGAGAGCAAACCTGGTTGTATATTAGGCAACAAATAACTAAAAGTATCCTAAGTGTGGGAGAGCAAACCTGGTTGTATATTAGGCAACAAATAACTACTAGAATTAGTATAATAAGGAACTCAATCATAACATTTTAGTCTGGACTGATTCATAGCTGATCCTCAGTTGGGTTTCTAAGGCTGCAAATTGCATGGTAGGAGATTGCCTATCTTTGTCCACTGAGCCACTGGTGATTTAAAGTGTTCAAGAGGGATGGGTTTTGGATAGGCAGCACCACTCCCTGTGGACTAGAACACCAAGTTATGGTAAATGCAAGAAGAATTGGTGGAATAGAGCATAACACATGGAGCTGCTAACCTGAATCCAGCAGTAACTCTCAGTCTCCTCCCATACAGAGTCACAACCTAGGAAATCCAAGACAGAGAGCCACCATCAATCAGAACCAACGCCATGGCAGTGCATTTGGATTTTGGTATTGTAAATGCATGAGAAACACACAAGATAAGGTTTACATTTATATAAGTTTTATTTACCAGCCACAGATTTCTAAGGCATTTATTTCTGAGCAAAGGCACATTTGCAGTCTTCATCTAAATGGGTCAAGACGAGGACATCTGGCCAATACACCAAGGAAATTACTTAAGGTTACAAAGCTCATGTGATTTTTTTTTACTCCAAATGCACTGTCCTAGGAAGTTACAGATTACCCAGTAAACTCAGTAAACATGGGTTTACAGATGGTTACTAATCCTAATTGTGGTGATCAATTTGACATGAGTATTACCACATTTGTAAACCTATTGTTATTTTATTAGATAATCAGCCTTTGACCTATAATAATATCCCTTTAAAAAGAGATAGATAATTAAGACAGTCACTCTCACCCTCAACTAGACCCTAAAGATGGGGCCATTTCCATTATGTCATCCAGAATGGGCATTGCTCCTCAATATTGAGAAGCTTCCCTAACAAGATACTTAAGCTTTCATGAATTCTGTATCCGAGGTTGGTGTATTGTTGGTAAAAAGCAGACTTGCCCTTACTGCAAAGAGAAAGTTGATTTGAAGAGGATGATCAGTAACCCGTATCCTTTTTTAAAAGAAAAGTGCTGTATTTTCTCAAATGTTTTTGGTGTACTTTCTGCATTCTGAAGTTCCCTTATCTTTGTACAGTTTTAGTATAGGAGAGACTATTTTCCAGAACTATCTATTTTAAAATATTTTTGTCCATCTCTTTTCTCTTGGGTATTTGTATTACTGTTTTAGTTAGAAATTTAAATGCCAAGGAAGATCTCTCTTACCTCCTGTATTTTTCACTCTCAGAGTGTAATGACAAGATCACTGTAAAAGAAAGATAAATGATAAAATAAAAGTGATGGATAGATGGGATGGGTTGGTGGGTAGGTAGTTGTTTTTATGTGAGTAACTAGAATTAAAACATAGCAGAAGAGCACTGAGAAGTAAACACCTATCTCTCTCCTTTAATAGGAGACAGTCTTTCTATGCTTTTTGAGTAACAGTTGCTTAAATATCAGACATCCTTGCTCCATGTACTCCCTACTCTTCACCAACCTGAAATGTGCAGGTTAACAATAGCTGTTGTTGTTGTGTACGCCTGAGTCAGAACCCACTGATAGCTGATCCTCCAGCAGGTTTTCAGAGGCAGTAAATCATATGGAAGGAGATTATTAATCTTTCTCCTACAGAGAAGTTAGTGGACTCAAACCACTTGCTAGCTATGACAGTAATATCCTCCTCTCTGAGTATTGCAAATCAAAGTAAATAACAATTATAAAAAATCATGAGAGAAAGGAGCAGTATAAAGGTGTTTTTTGGTCTTAGGACCATGTCACAGCAATAGAGAACATGTTCTGGCAGCCACCAAGTCTCTGCAACCTCAGCACAACTCAAAGCTAATGGCATGTGCTGAGCGTTCCTCCTTCCTCGTCACCCACTGTGCCAGATCTTCCCTCCAATAGGAGATGGGCCCAAAACAGGTTTTGCTTAATGACTTATTTATAAAACTATCCAAAAACGACTGGAACAGCACTTCAACAGAGAACTACCAGAAGTGCAGGCTGGGTTTAGAAGGGGTCAGAGTAGTAGGAATATTGTAGCTAATGTTAGATGGATCTTGGCTGAAAGCAGGGAGTACGAGAGGAATGTCTGTGTTTCATTGATTATGCAAAGGCGTTTGTGGGGATCATAACATATTGTGGCTGACTCTCAGAAGACTGAAAATCCCAGAACACTTGATCATGCTAATGCGAAACCTTACCTGGACCAGGAGGTAGTCATCAGAACAAAGCAAGGAAACACTGCATGGTTCAAATTTGGGAAGGGTATATGCCAGGGATGTATCCTATCGCCATACCTCTTCAATCTTTATGCAAAGCAGATTATCCAGGAGGCTGGGTTCTATGAGGAGGAATGTGGCATCAGGACTGGAGGAAGATTCATCAATAATCTGTGTTATACAGATGACACAACCCTACTGGCTGAAACTGAGGAGGACCCGAAGCGCTTGCTACAGAGGGTCAGACACTGTAGCCTTCAGTATGGATTGAGGCTCAATATGAAGAAAACAAAGATTCTCACCACTGGGCCAATTGGCAGCATCAGTATGGTTGGTGAAGAGATTGAGATTGTTCACAGTTTTAATTTGCTTGGCTCCACTAACACTCTTGGCACCAGCAGCCAGGAAATTAAAAGACGTATTGTGATGGGAAAGTCTGCGGTTAGAGACCTCTCTAAAGTGCTGAAGAGCGACGATGTCAGTCTGGAGACTAAGGTGCTCCTGATACATGCTATGGTCTTTGCAATCACTTGCTATGCATCAGAGATTTGGACAATGACTAGGGATAGAAGAATTGATGCCTTTGAGCTGTGGTGTTGGAAAAGAGTACTGAATACACTATGAACTGCTAAGAAAGTGAATAGGTTTGTCCTGGAGAGGGTGAAGCCTGGCTGCTCCTTGGAGGCAAGGATTATGAAGTTTCGTCTGACATACTTTGGACATGTTGCAAGGCAGGATCAGTCCTTGGCGAGGGATGTCATGCTTGGGAGGGTGAAGGGACAGCACAGGAGAGGAAGACCCTCAATGAGATGGATTGATTCAGTGACTGGGGTAATGGGATTAGGTGTACCAGAGACAATAAGATTGGCAGAGGGATAGAGCAGGGTTTAGGGCTGTTGTACATAGGGTCGCTATGAATCACAGGCAACTCAACGGCACATTACAAGATTTTACTTGAATATTATATTAATGGCATTGTTCAGTAATTTCCACATTCTCTTGGATCACCTTTTTTTTGGGAATGGGAACAAATATGGATCTCTTCCATTCAGTTAAGCAGTAACTCTCTTCCAAATTTCTTGGCATAGGCTAGTGAGTATGTCCAGGGCTGCATCCCTTTGTTGAAATGTATCAGTCAGTATTGTATCAATTCCTGGGTTCTTATTTTCTGCCAATGCCTCTTTAACTTCTTCATTATTATTGGTTATCAGGCTGCTTTGAAGGAAATGGCAAAAAATAAGGCTCCAGGAATGGATGGTATACCAATTGACATATTTCAGTTAACAGATGCTGCCATGGACGTGCTCACCAAGTTGTGCCAAGAAATCTGGAGAACAACCACTTGGCCAACTGACTGGAAGAGATC